CATCATTTTGTAAAATGGTGTTTCTTAACAACCGATACAACACTTCGCTGGTGTCAAACATCACGTTCGTTTTAATAATGGCTTTATGAAAAATACAGAATAGCAAGTCTTTAACGAACTCCGAGCTGTTGGATAGTAATAAATGAAACAACGATAACAACAACGGCGATTTTACAACAAACAAACTCAGCAATCTATCATCATCCAAGTCTTTTATAAATTTCAAAACCTGAAACAAAACAGAATTGGATCTTAAAGTCTTTTCCTTCTGTTCCACGGCTATTTTCCTCAAAATCCAACTCGTGTATTCTGTAGAACTATTTGGTTGTTCAAACAACATTTCGTTGAGAACAGAACGCAAAGATCTTTGTTGCATTTTTGGTTTGCAGAAGACAGGATTTTTATGTATATAAGATGTAATGTCAATGTCTTGGAGACGTTTTAATAAAATTATGGGATACTTCTCTTCTTTAATGTTGCAGACTCGGAGGAAAACTTTGCCATCAGCTACTCCTCTCATGTGTTGGACAGCTATGCACATGCCGATGAAGGGCTTACCGTTTTCCATAATCTGGAAGAGAATAATATCACAAAAAATAATTATAAAGCTAGTTGTAAGTAGCATTTTGCCTTAAGGCGAGTTGGATAAACTTCCCGACACATATTGAGAGCTAAAACGTGGACGAAATTTTACACTTTTTACGCTTTTATGCTAATTACGAAAAAACGGCTTGGCAGATCTTCGCGCAAACTGATAAACGTCAGTCCTTACCAAATTACATCAAATTCTTATCTTCGATAAATTCTTATTAGCGCGATTCTCAACTGATATCTTTCGCTTAGATTTTCAAAATCGGCGAAAAATTTTCGCCTAAAATGTTGCATTTATCTGCTAATTATAGAGAAACGTCTTTGCTGACCTTCGCGCAAAACAAATCAACATAAGTCCTGACCACGTACAAAAGATCAAATTTTATCATACACATTTATCAATTTTGGAATTACTGGAAACATTGACAAACTACAAAATAGACAGTAAATTTTCTGCTGAAAAAAGGGCAGTTAATAAAAAAAAACTCGATCTTTAATAACAATAAAAAATTTAAATTTAATAATAAAAAAAGACTCTTTTCCTACCTGTCCAGCACAAGCTGCCTGTTCGCTAGCCGCCCAATTATCGAGCACCTTCAAACATTTGCCCATGGACTGCAACGAGTAACCAAATGATTGCATAAACATCAACAGCTGAACTGGTCTGATAGATCTAAGACTTGCATCAACCAATCTCTGGACAGGTGATTGAACCATCCTCAAAAGAATCCAATCAGGATAGAGAGAAGTCTCTTTTATTTCATTGGTTGTTGCATCATAGGTAAAACCTGGACAATGTTTAACAGATATAAGAAAATAAAATTAATATATTGTATGTGATTTATCTCCTACCTCTGGGTACTAGTTTAAGGTCTGCAGGAAACCAAGCATCGAGCAGCATCTCATTAAGACTCCTATCACCTCCATCGTACGTCAGCAGCAAAATCATGGCATGAACAACATTCAAAACCATAAAACACTCCTCACCTGTACTCCATTTAATCAAATACACGTCCTGAGCATCCTGAGGAAACACATTAGTCTCATCTCCTCGCGGGATTTTTACTCTGTTCAAATAGCTACAGTACAAAGTGAGCAGAGATGTCTTTGCTTCTTCATTTAGTTCCCTGTTGGTCATGATGGCATTCATTAAGATTACTCTTTCGACTACCAGCTGGGCCAAGTCAAGGACCAGCTCTGACATTTCTTCTTCAGAGCAAGTCGTGGTGTGTTGAGCTAAGAAACGGAGATAATGGACAATGTTTTCAGGCATCATGTCGATTTGGCAGGCTGCTCTGAGAGCCGTTATTACCTGGAAGAAGATAACACAATGATAATAGCTGACACATATGAGTTATGTTTTATTTATTACCTGCATCCGAATATGTTCAAAATGAGGCACCATTGGCAGCTGCTTGATCAGCCATCCACTTCCTCTTGCCTCTTCTGTGCTAACACAACTCAAAGCATCTTAAGTCCCTTAACCGATTGCATCCTGGATGACTTTTGAGGAGAAGCAAGTCTTCTCAAGAAATAATCCAACACCTCACAAGCAGTCTGCGGTGAACACTCCGGATTGGTCACCAGTTCTTGTAAGTGGTGAAGTAATTGAATATGTTTATCCTGGTTTCCTCCTGCAGGACTCAACAAGAACTCACACAAACACTGGACTGGTAATAAAGAAACACTTTCTGAGTTTTCAACTAATTCTGCAAGCCAGGGCATGCTTTGGGAGTTTCCTTGGCGTTGGATGATGTCCATTAGAAAATCAGGTTCTCTGGACCGACAGAATAAGTGACCAAGGTTATGGGTTTTGTTCAAAAGTGCTAAGTTCTCCAGGACGTTTGATGTTGGTTTTCTTGGAGGACCTGTAGGGTCATAACGCATCAATTGGTTTACCAAAAGACTCGTTTCTTCTGTTATTTTCATTTGGGTAGTAGCAGCAGCTAAATGAGTTTCTAGTTCTATTATTTCCTGTTTTTCTAATCGCTCGATCTCGCGTTCCTCAGGAAAGTTTTGGCCGCACAAAGATGTTGGCGGAGGATACACGAATTGGTTCGTGATACACATTTCCATTAAAGTCCTTAAAATAGGATATTGTTCCCAACAAACGACTCCTATAGACATTGGATTGTGAGCTGCTAAAATTAAAACAATACCCCAAGCTTTCCAATAAGGCACCGTCACAGCTAATGTGGGAGGTGAATAGCCGTAAGGCAAAGTTATGTTGTCTGGGTAATGATACTGTGTCAGTCTAAACAAGTTGTCTATTATTTCAACTTTATCAAAGTGCATTAAAGGTAAATAATCTTGCGTCAGGTCCCCCGAACGTTTAACCATCTGTTCACAGATTTCCAAAGCATCCATTGGAGGCATTGGACAAGATTTCTGTTGCCCAATCTTACACAACCTCAACAAAGTGTTCTGGTGTACACGAACTTCCCCAACCAACTTAAAAAACAAACCGCGTTCAGACTCCGGAGGCCAAGTATCAATTTTAACATAAGGCTCATAATTGTTTTCTAAAAACAACAATTTTCGTATGTGCCCTAAATATTCTGGTGTAGGCGGTTTATACAAACCAGGAACTACTTTCTCCATCCAACGTATTGCCTCAAATTGGATCCTTGACACTTGCAATTGATACGATTGCAAAACATTCAAGTCTTTTTTATCTCCACGAGAGCAAGAACTGGAAGCTTCTTTTACTTGTGGTGAGATTCCTAAAAGCATGCAGAGACAGAATAAGTCTGAGATGGATGAGAGTACTCGATCACGAGCATCAAAGTTTTCCACATTGGTGTTGAAAGCTCTGTCTTTGGAAACAAGAGTGAAACAAAATAGGTATAAGTTGACGTCGTATCTTAAAGCGCGGACGAGTTCTCGCAGAAATAATCTCAAAGCACGCAAACAGTCGTCACGATTTAATAAGTATTCTTTGTAGATTTCTGCTAAAGCAACAGGGGCTTTGTCTGGTTGCTCTTGGAACATCAAAACAACCATAGAGATGTTGTTCGGGTTTCTAGCGTTTGAGAACTCGTTGAATATTGTATGCTTCATTAACAAATTCATAATTTCAACGTTTTCTTTAACAATAGCTTTTAAACAACTTAGATAGCTGTTGCACAACGGTTTTGTTTTAAGTCTAATCTTGACATACTGTATGACAACTTCTATATCTTTCTGTGTCTTTGTTCCAAAATTATAGCATAAATAAGCCAGCAACTCCTGAGCTGGCTTCATCAATTTAGCATTGTGCAACCAAACTTCCAATCTGGACACTGCTAATAATCTGATCTCGACCAAACCACAAGCAGCTGACATCAACTTTAATGTATTCTTAGTAACAAAATCGGTTGGAGACGTTCTTTTATTTATAGAATCTTTAAGCATCTCAACCATGTATGTCTCAATACCATCACAATTGGCGTATCTCTTCATTATCCTTGCCTCGATGTCTTGGCTTTGTTTTAAAGGCATCGGTGAGTTCTCACTTGATTCGTCGTCGGACATTGTTAAAGGTGAGCTTACGCCTGATACAACTAAACCGCTTTTAGTAACCTCTGTTGCTTCATTTTGCAACAAATGTTGAGCTGGTATGATGGTATTAAAAGCTGTAAGCACATTTCCGACAAACAATTTGCAATCGTCGTGATCCACCCAAGCTCTTTCATTTAAAGCATCTTCCACGTAACACTTAACAAAATTAATAGACCAGTCTTTTTTGTCTTGATATGCCCGAGCTAATAAGTTGGCAGCTAAAACTGGTACTTGTAAGTTTGTCCTGGTTTTGATATTGGTATTTGATTCACGTTTCAACAAACTGCACAAGGCTGATGTAATTGTGCTATTTAGGAATATTTTAGGTCTCAATTTACCTAAATAGCATAACCCGAAGTACAAAACCGAATCAAACTTCCACCTGGGACTTTTCATTAATTTTAAAGCCCCACAAATGGTATTAACAACAGTCTCAGTTTGATTATCATCGTGAGCTTGTAGAACTAAAATTACTAATTCAGGAGCTTCAAATTCAGCCGTATGAGCCTCCCAGGGTTCTACAACAGGCGCAGTGACAGTTGAAGCACTTTGAGGTAAAGGTCTTGTTAGAGCAGTTACTAATTTTGGTTTTTTGGAAGGCACCGCACTAGCGCTCGACGTAGGGGCTTCACGTTTGCTAGCAATTAGGGAAGAGACTTTACTAGAGCTTGAGGAGTCCCATTGGGGTTTGGAAATCGGCATTGAGGTATTGCGTTTGTCTGAAATATCTTTGGAAGAGCTCGACGACTGTTTGGAACCCAAGGCAAACAAATCTCCTGCATGGTGGGATAGTTTAGATTTGCCCGAACGTTGGGAAGGGTTTAATTTACGATCCATTTTTAACAATTATCTTTAACTAATTTAATTTTATCAACTTAATATTTAATGTGCCGCAAGTTCGCTGTATCATAAATTTCTTTTGAATTTTGATGCTTTTCTATATAATCAAGAGGTAACATCAAATCTTCATCACGATACTCAACATCACATAAGTACAAACCATGAGGTGGCATCGATCTTACACTGGTACACCAGGAATGTGGTGAGGGAACTTGAAGCATCGTAATAACATCTTGCTCAGTTATTCTGTGCTGTGCGACTGCTAACAAGACTCCTACCATGCGTCTCACCTAAAGAGAAAGAAATATACAACATATTAACTAGTTGTAAGTACCATTTTACCTTAAGGAAATTAGCATTTATTTTCCTATATGTATACATAATCAACTCAATCAATAAGAATTGAATTTCATCTATTTAAGCAATGTTAGAAAGTTTAGAGTTAGAAAATAAACTTTTCTCCAATTGATGTATTTCAAACGTATCTGTAGATTTTTTGGTATTTTGTAAGTAGCTACTGATTATAGTTGACGATCACACTTAAATAAAATACATTTTTAGAACAATAAATGGATGAAATCAAATATGTTAAACCAAATATTCTGAAGAGGTAGTCTTAAATGTAATTTATTTAAGTGTGAATGTCAACTATAATCAGTAGCGACCACAATACAATACCAAATAACATACATATGCTTCGGCTTAGAATCGCGTAAGCGCGCAGCAAAATTCGAAGGTCTATAATATTTTATTATGTTTTCTTGGACTATGAAATCTATCTTTATATAAAGTTTCATCAAGACCATAAAAAAACTCCAACATTTCATCCAACAGTCCTGCCAATCTTTACCAGAAACGCGAATCGCAACCAACATCTTTCGAACTTTGAGTTTTAATATTGTTTCAAAATTGTGCACTAAAACGTGGGCAAAATGTTTTATACTTTTTTTGCTAAATACATAGAAACCTCTCGCCAGATCGGCACGCAAAACTAGTCCTTGTAGAGATACATCGAATGGCTTTTAAATTTTTAAAATCGGTCCAGCCGTTTTTGAGAAAACGCCGATAAGTCAAAATCGGCTCACATACACACACATACTTTTCCAATTTTGGTCTCATTTGATTGAGAAAATAAACTAGTAGTGCATGGCATCGTGCCTTAAGGCAAATTGCTAGAACTTCCCGTAACAAAAACTACATTTTTTAACAAATCTTTGAAAAAAATTCAAAACTGTGCAAAAATCAAATTTTTGACAATTTTGAAATTTTTTGAACAATTTGTTTTTTTTATATCTTGAACTTTTTTGAAAACTTAGAACTTTTTTCTAAAACAACATAAACAACGCGCAGCATAGCTGTTTTAGAGTTAAAATATCGAAGCGCGTAAGCGCCGCGTCGTAGTCTAACGTGTAAACATTGGTACAGAACCCATGTAAATGTACTTATAATTATGATCTCTATAAAATATCATATATAATATGAAGAGCATATGTCTAATGATTAATTTTGACCGCAAAAAGGCATTATATTTTACTTTTTATTGGATCTCCTGAAGCCCTAGACCTGCCTTCTCAAAAATCACCAGCTGTTCATTTCGTCAATTCAAGTAAAATGTTTTTCGAATCATTCAAATCGGTCGCTTCGTTCTTTCAAAAACTCGATTTCTATTTTCTGCACTCTTTGCTTCGTATCTCCAAAACGGCTGGACCTGCCTTCGCCAAAAACTAATCAGCGCATCTCTCTATCAATAGGAATCCAATGTTTTTTGAACCATTCAAATCGGTTGATCCGTGCGCCCGAAAACTTGGACGAAAAGTTGTATCCATACATACATACATACATACATACACACACGCACATCCATTTTTTCTAAGGTATGCCAAAACGTTCAGAAACCCCTGAAACGTGAAGATATGCAAAAACTTTCAATTTCGGTAATAAAAGTTAATAAAAGCACCAAACCGGATTTTTTTGCGAAAACAAACTTCTCCATCAGGAAGTAGGTATTATATCTATCTATTGCTATCTATCTATTGCAGATAGATATTATATCTATCTATTGCTAAATCTATTTTTATCTTTTTCCATTACCTGTCGATATAAAAATGACTTTCCCTTAAACTTTATATCCCAGTAGTCAAAATAATTGGAAGCGTTATTGAAAGGCAAACTGGTGCTAGTTGATTTCTCTATTGAGACTTCATGTATGTATCTCAATGTGTGCACTGGAGGAGATCCTTTTGACAATGTTGTCATGAAAGTTCTAAAATCATGATAGCCTTCTAATAATTTGGCTGCTTTGCGGAAGGCTTCTACATCAAACTTGGGATTCCTAAAGAGTAAAGGATAATTAATAATTAGTATATATTAATATGTTGTATCATTCTATTTTTTATTCTATTTATTATACTGTTGTATTATTCTATTTATTACTTACGGAATAAATATACATCTATTCTGTTCTTCGATGGGTGTTTCAACAAAATATTGCAAAATAGTAGGTCGATAGTTATTTAATGAATATTCTTGTTTTAGTATAGCCATCTGAAATTAAAATAATCTCACAATTATAAATCAAGATCTCCAATTGAAAAATTTACATATTATTAAAAACTAAAGTCAAGCCTTTTGATTTTTTGTTTCTCTCGATTTAATTTTACAAAATAAATTTTAAGTTTTGTAGTTATTTTTTGGTTATTAATTTTTGAAATTTAGTCTTAACCACTGTATTAATCTAATAATAAAAACACCAACAACTCTCTAGATATCTTACAACGTTCTAGTATTCAGTTTAAACAAATGTGTTTATTATCAATTAATTATCATACCTGTAGACGTAAGTCCTGCTCAGCGCATTAAATCTACAATGAAAAGTTGGTGGCACTAATCTTGTTCTAATAGCTCGTATCAGATCGTTCTCTTTACGAAAAAAAGAGTTCAGGCAAACAGTAATGTAATGACAATTGTAAATTTTTGGTAGATCAAAGTGGCAAGTTGTATTCAGAGCATGAACACCTGTATCAGTCCTGGAAGTAGAAAAAACTTATTAATAATAATGAATATGTACAGTAATAACAGCATTAATTCATATTACGGATTAATATATTAAATACTTTTGCATTGCAGCTTATGTAAATTTTTTTTTGCATTGTTAAATAATATAGTAAAGTAAACCAAAATGCGACATGAATAAGTTTAAAAATATGATGTGTATGCAGTGTTGGACTTATTGCATTATTTATTAACTGAATTATATAATTTCATCTGCCTTACATATACTGTTGACTGTATCTTATATTATTTTAATTTCTGGAACATCTCAGATGCTTTTAGCAATAATAATGTAGACATTACATTTTTCTTGTATATTACATTCTAATATTATCTAGGCTCATAAGTTCAGCTAAATTCAAATTTCAAGTAAATTTCTAGCAGATGACAGTTCAAATGTTTTCAATGTTAAACAATGATAAGTGATTTTTTGTAATTTTTTGCCATTTATTTCTACAATATTACTATAGTTTTATTGTTCATTAAATCTTAAAAATTTCCTTTGACAAACTAAAAAGAATTTTCAAAATCCAAATAACCTTGTAGTATCAAATCATACACAAGTACCAAAGAATTTTATATTTAAGATAGATAATATTATAGATATATTATACATGATGCAGGAATTCTTTTATACGGATAGCAACTTATGTATATATACAAAATGTCTAATGGCAGGATTGATTGTAACCGTCTTAATTCTAGAAAACTTGTGGCAATTGTGTTATTTTGTTGACTAGAGATGTTATTTATGGTATCAATAAAGATCAAACACAATAACCAAAATGGTCATACTTTGATCAAAGCTCTATGCATTACTTTAATGCAAAAATTTATTGAACTGCAAGAGATAGATATTTTAGTTTATGATTACAATCAATTACGTTGCCCCATTCAAATAAAATTCCTGGACATTCTGTATATTCAAATACTAAAGACAAAATTTACTTCTATAAATTGATACAATATCATACTCTTTAGAAATCTGCTGAAATTGAATGGGAGATATTAACCATGACACAAAATATCATAAGTTGAAATTATACCCATCGTAGAATCTCATAGTACCTGCTGGAAATGGAGACTGCAGGTGGATCATGATTATTAAACCGTCCCAATGCAAGTTCAATAACTCCTTGAACAGTACTTTGATCAACTACATATGTATCAGACTTAGGCACATTCTTTTGAACACCTCTGCAAATAGAAACAACATATAAGGGATGACTTATAGGTTAGGTTTTCAATAAACAGATTATTAAAATAAATAATACAATATATAATGTATTAATCAATATTAGTTCAACCTGAAATACGTTCCTATATACGAGTAATTTAATAAATATCTGTGCATATTATGTTTTATATATTATTACTAATTTTTTAAGGAGTATAAAATATAACCCTGTACAATGGTTGCATGTATACACAAAAAAAGAAAATTGTTGTAGGTATAATAGATACACAAACGTACCTTAGATTTTATTAGTTTTTAATTAATTTTAGACTCAATTTAAGGTTTTAAAAGTTATTGACATAGATTTTTAATAATATTTATTTTTAATAAATATTTTGTAGTTGTCATTATTTTTATAAGTTGGTCGCCATGTTGGCGATCTTTCAAATAAAAATTTTAATTGTTTCTGCGGTATTTTTTTAATTAAAGGATAAAAAACACGATTTTATATTTTTAATGGGTAATTAAAATATATACAAAGGTATATATTCATGTGTGATATTTATTTTTGAATCATGTATAAAAATTAAAGTATGCTTCTACACATTTACATTTGTTAACATTGCCTAATTAATGTTTATTATTTATAAAAATTAATCAAATTGTTTTTCTCATTCTAATTAGTACTAGAATTTGATTTAGTAATTATATTACATGAAACATTATGCAAATATATATTTATTTTAAAAACACCGCCATTTTTTCTGTTATGAAGTTAGCTGCATATTTGCTGCAAACACATTTAAATTTAAATAATGTTTTAATTAGTATTAAACATTTCATAAATTAGTTGATAATTTTGAATAAGCATATATATTCCTATTTTGAATTATTTTAGGCTTTGTGTAATGAATTAAAATGTTTTTTAAAAATCGAACATGTATTTTTTATAACAGTTGACAACAGTGTTTGTTGTAGCTGTCAAATTTTTCAAAATGTCAGAATTTATAAAAAATATTTAATTTTTAAGATTAAATAATAAATAAAATCGTGATATAAAATAAATATAGTTGTTAAGAAATATGTAATATATTATATATATTAAATTACCATTTGATGATATTAATACTAGCCAAAACCTTAAACCAAAGATAACCAATATGTTTAAACTTTATATTTTACTATTATCTTTATTTCTAACAATTTGTGATACTCAAAATGAGCAGAAAGTTTGTTCAGATCAAGGTTCTAAATGCGAAACCATCAACATTAATAAATACAACGAGCACACATATATTTTCTACGATGTAAACAAGCCCGAAGGCTTCAACTTACGAAGAGATGTATACATAAGAATGGCTACATTTGTTAAAATTTTAAACAAAATGAAAATTAAAAGATATGTGTTAGTACTTCCCCCATGGTCAGAACTGTTTCATTGGAAATCCAAACATTTAAATCAAAATTCAATCCCGTGGAATGAATTTTTTGATGTAGATAGTTTGAATAAATATGTTCCCGTTGTGGAGATGAAAGATTATTTTGCATATCATAATATTTGGAATAAAGATAGTCTTGTGATTGATGAGGTTTTTATATTGAAACATTTCGAAGAGATGTTTGAAACTGGTAATTTTCAAGATAAATATGAGTATACAAATGATTGTAAAGAAAAAACTGAGTTGAATGATTTATGGGGGTACAGTAATGTAACTTTTGGTACTGTAAAGTGTTTAAAATTTCAAGGAACTACTAGTTTGTTGAAGAATATAATCAAAGACAGCAAAGCCAAGTATATATTAATGCATACATCAGTTTATATTTAATAACAATAACTTATATCATTTAATTATTTTAGTTCAATAATGTTTGCTCATGCTGAAATACCTTTGCATGACACATGGGGCTCTCCTGAGTTTTGGAGAGCTCGTAGAAGTATGAGGTTTAGTCAACCCCTAGTCAAACTTGCCAATGATTTTAGAAAGACTTATTTAAACTCAACAGATGACAATGATAATACTTTAAGACCTTTAAGTTGGAAAGATGAAAAGGTACAAAAAATGTATGATGTTTAAATTAATTTTATATACATATCTTAATTTTTAGTATAGTAGAAATGCAATTGGTGGAAATTATATATCAGTGCATTTGCGCAGACAAGATTTTTTATGGGGTCGCTCAAAACACATTCCAAATATAAAGTATGCAGCACAACAAATTGAAAAAAACTGCAACAAACTACAAATATTTACTGTATTTTTAGCAACAGATGCTTTCTCTATAGGTATTTTATATTGCAAATGTATTTTATATATAAAAAGTATTTTATTTCATGTTTTTTCCAGAAATAAGTGACTTGAGGTCCTTTTTGGAACCAAAAATTAAAGTCTACACATTTAAACCAACATCGGATATAGAAAAGAAAATTAAAGATGGAGGCAAAGCGATTGTAGAACAAATAATTTGTTCCCATGCCAAATATTTCATAGGGACTTATGAATCTACATTTTCATTTCGAATACAAGAAGAACGTGAAATCTTAGGCTTCCCAAAAACAACAACCTTCAATAGACTTTGTGGAGACAAAGAGACTGATAAAAAATGTTCTCAAACAACTGTATGGAGTATAATGTTTTGATAATAGAATTTTTTATTATACAAAATATATATAAAATTTTACAAAATCACAGATTTTATGTTTGTTGATTTGTGGACATATCGTTTTTGAGCCAGTCTCGATACAAGTTTAATTGTTCTTTCCAATAATTTGTTAAATCTTTAAAAAACATTTTAGGATTCTTGACACATTCTTCAGGAAGTCCTGGAATGTCTAAAAGACCTGTTCTGTGGACAGTGACTCGATCACGAAGCTTTTTGGTCATGAATTTCCTAAAACCAAATTATGTGAGCATAATTTTTAACATAAAAATGACTGTTAGCATATACTTACATGAAGACATCAAGTACGATGTTAACAAAACTGGGAGCATTTACAAAATCCAGTCTCTTCACCATTGTTGGATAAAACTTCCAACTATCAACTAACTTCTTAATCATCCCCGGATGCAACTGCAAAGCATGCCCTAAAGTAACATTTTCAAGATCAAAAATAGCAACAACTCCATATACAGATACACTTTCATCCAAATGTAAAGCTAAATCCATAATCATTTGCCCGATTTTAAAAACATCATCTTGTAAATGCTTTTTGGGATCATGTGCAGCCGCTTTAATTACCACAATCAATCTATTATGAGCATCTTTTGTTTTTAGAGGTAAAAACACTCCTAAATCAACGAGTTCTTGGATTTCACACAAATGAGGGTCTCTATTTTGGTACCACTCCGTTACTTTAGATCTGGCTAAGTAGAAATGCTTGATTTTGGCTATTGTTTTCGGAATATCAAACTTGCAGCCTCTTAAAAAATGTAGGATTGATACTGGATCGTTTCTGGCTTTTATATGAGGGTTGTCTTGGATCCATTCTTGGATTTCCCTGATACTATCATTCCGGATTGATTCAGTTTCACCCAAATATTCTTCAGCATATAAATAATCTTCGGCAGACAAAGTACATTTATAAAGTTCTGACATTTTAAAAATACTTTCTTATATATAAAGAATTGCAATGGTAGATTTACTCGTTGATTGTAATTTGATAAGTTGCAAGGTAAGCAAATGCAAACACTAAAATTTTATGCTTACCAAGCTTGAATTGTACATGTATATTATTTATTAATTAATTCTAACTAATTATAAAAATCTTAGTACAAAAGCTAAAAAATGCAGTTGATAATACTGACTAGAGGAAAGACCAGAAATGACATTGTTTATACAAAATATATTTAGTAGTACAAAAAAACGTAAAAATATAATGAACTTGGCATGATATTTAAAACTAAATAGAAAAATTGTAAAATAAAAATCATGCAAAAGACATTTTTACTGATAACATAAATTTATTTAGTGTTGCCTTAGTTAAATTGGATTCTCATGAGAAAAATGGCGCAAAATTTAAATTTTATTAGTTTTATTAACTTCCCGAAGGAGAAGTTTATGTTTTCATCAAAAAATCCGATTCGCTAATTTTATGTTTTCTCGACGTTTCAAGCCATTCTGAATCGAATGAGACCAAATTTGGAAAAAGTATGTGTGTGTGTGTGTGTGTGTGTGTGTGTGTGTGCGTGTGCACCAACAGATTTTTTGCCGTAAATCGACGTTTTCTCGAAAACGGCTGGGTCGATTTCAACAATTTAAAAGCCATTCGATGTATCTCGACGAGAACTATTGTTTGTCAGTTTTGTGCGACGATCGGCCAAGCCGTTTCTTTATAAATGGCAGAAAAGTGAAAAATTTTTCGTCTACGTTTTAGCCCGCAATTCTGAATCGATTTTGAAAATTCAAAAACCGTTCGAAAGATATTGGTTGGGAATCGTGCTGATTAGTTTTTGGCAGAGATCGGCCGGGCCGTTTTCTTGTAATAAAGTTTTTAAAAAAAAAAATTCGACGATTTTTATGATTATTTTTTTGACGATAGATACCATAGTCTTCTAGATCATACTAAAATATTACGGCGCTACGACAACTGGTTCAGCTTTAAAAATTCGTCAAAGTTTGCAAAAATCAGTATGGTCTTTTTGGCATTTGTCAAAATTAGACTTTTGATCGACGTTTTCTCAAAAACGCCTGAACCGATTTTAGAAATTTAAAAGCCATTTGATGTATTTCGGTGAGGACTATCGTTTGTCAGTTTTGTGCAACGATCTGACAAGCCGTTTCTTTGTAATTCGAAAAAACTTTTCGTACATATTTAAGCTCATCCTACCGAACCGATTTTAAAAAATCAAAAACTGTTCGAAAGATATTAGTTGGGAATGATGCTGATTAATTTTAGGTGAAAATCTACCGAGCCGTTTTCTTGTAATTAACTGTTGAAAAAAAGTGTTAAATTTTCGTCGACATTTAAGCTCATCCTACCGAACCGATTTTAAAAAATCAAAAACTGTTCGAAAGATATTAGTTGGGAATGATGCTGATTAATTTTAGGTGAAAATCTACCGAGCCGTTTTCTTGTAATTAACTGTTGAAAAAAAGTGTTAAATTTTCGTCGACATTTAAGCTCATCCTACCGAACCGATTTTAAAAAATCAAAAACTGTTCGAAAGATATTAGTTGGGAATGATGCTGATTAATTTTAGGTGAAAATCTACCGAGCCGTTTTCTTGTAATTAACTGTTGAAAAAAAGTGTTAAATTTTCGTCGACATTTAAGCTCATCCTACCGAACCGATTTTAAAATATCAAAAACTGTTCGAAAGATATTAGTTGGGAATGATGCTGATTAATTTTAGGTGAAAATCTACCGAGCCGTTTTCTTGTAATTAACTGTTGAAAAAAAGTGTTAAATTTTCGTCGACATTTAAGCTCATCCTACCGAACCGATTTTAAAATATCAAAAACTGTTCGAAAGATATTAGTTGGGAATGATGCTGATTAATTTTAGGTGAAAATCTACCGAGCCGTTTTCTTGTAATTAACTGTTAAAAAAAAAATAAGCCGTTTTTCATGGAACTTTTTTTGGCGATATACATCATGGTCTTATAGAACTTACTGTAATATTACGGCCTTACAACAAGTAGTTTAATTTTAAAAATTCGTCAAAGTTTGCTAAAATTATTATCGTTTTTTTTAAAGTAGGATTAATGAAGTATATTATTTACACATTTTTTTTTAATTAAGTCGATTATTTACACATTTCGGGAAGTTCATGTAACTTGCCTCAAGGCTAAATACCAAACCAACTAGTTTAAATATTTATTGAAAAATACATATTATTAATTGTTATACTATTTATAATTCTTCAAAATTGAAAATTAAAATGAATTTAAATATTCAAAAACATAAAACTAAATATTCATTCATTCATTTTTATTAGAATCTTGTTAGACTTTTCTGATGAGTATAAAAGCGCCAAATTTAAATTTTATTAGATGTATTCAAATATTTTATAAAAACTAGATATTATTAGTTGTTGTACTATGTTTATTTCTGAATTTAGTTGAAAATTAAAAAGTAAATTCAATTTAATAAACAAAATCATAAAACTAAATATTTATATTAGAATTTCTTTTTAGAACTTTTCAAAACGTCAAAAAGTGAGGTTATGTCCAAACATGTTATAACCTGTGAACAAAAACACATTATTTTTTAAAATAAAACATTATATTTAACGTTTACTTAATTACTTTCATATCAAATTATTATTAAACAAAAAATACACTTATTATCAATAGACTAGTTAACAAATATCATCTATTATATTATCATCATGGATAATTCCTTGGACAAGGCAGAGTTTTCTGACAAAGACTCCAATTCAGTCGATGAAAGTACTTCTTCACAAGAAAATTTATTTTCACAAGATCCTGATGAATTTTTCTTTGAATCTGATCATTTAGCTTTGAGGAACAATAAAGATTATCAGAAATTATTAAGGGCTTACATTTTGCTCAGCGCACAGAAAGATGAAATGCTAAAGGTAATAAATCAGACAAAGGTGGATAAATTGAGATCAACTATATAGTTTTGTAATATGTATAAGAAAAGTCTAAAATTTGTTTGCTTTGCAGAATTATGACACACTAAATGCAGCCCTAACATTGTCACAAGAAAAACCTGTAGAGTTTGTTAGTTCTTTACGAAGTGGGGAGTTAAAATTACCTGACAGAATCACACTAGTTAATGTAATTTATTATAAACAAGCGATATATATATATATATATATATATATATATTATATATATATATATATATATATTATATATATATATATATATATATATATATTTTTCTAGATTCCAAAAATTGATTTGCAACAGTACGAGAATAAAGTTCCTGAGTATTTATTAAACAAAGCAAAAAGTATTTACAATGATGATAAACCACAAAGTACATCTAATGAAAAAATTGATTCTTATCACTTGACAGAAAACAGACATTCTGCAAAATCTGATAAAGTATTAATTTTGAAGTTTTTATCAACTTCAAAGTATGTTATGTTATTTTTATCAATTTTGTTATTAGTATTTTTTTATAGTTGTGGACAGTTGCTGAACAACGCAGATTGGAAGAATTATTAGTTGAATTTCCTTCAGAAGAAGTTGAAATGCGTAGATTTGCAAAAATAGCAAAAGCTTTAGGTAATAGGACTACGAAACAAGTGGCAAGTCGAATACAGAAATATTTTATCAAACTGCATAAGGCAGGTTTGCCTGTTCCTGGTAGATTGCCCAGGATGCGCCCCGGAAAGGTAACAATATTAATTGTCTTTTGGTTTCTAGCAACAATATATGTAAAATGTATTTGTTATTTATCTAAATTTTTGGTTTCAGAGGTCTTTAAAAAATTCTGTATTTCATAATTCATTCAGTTTGATAAAACCTTCGACATTCTTTCCCACATTGACAATACCAAATGGGTTACAAAGTTTGCACAATCAGAATACTCAGAATGTTATACCGCAAGTACCCAAAGAGGTAAATTTATATATATATATATATATATATATATATATAATATATATATTACTTTCTGGATTCTTTGTTCGAAGCTCTACAAAATATTTACAAATCCAAGACTC